GTGGGCGGGGCTAAACAGGCAGTGCTGTAGAAGCAGGCGTTGATCTTCTGTGGAGGCGGAGTTTAGCCACACTATTACGTCATAAAGTGGCTCATTCCACAAGCTGTCGTTTTGGCAGATCGGCTTCAATATAAGCTATTTTTAGACTAACTAGAAAGTTTTGAGTTCTGAAACTTACAGGATGTTTTTATAGTACAATGACCTCTTATATGTCAAAAGATCGAGGGAATTTTGATTTCTCGCTTCATGACCCCTTTAATGAACTTAAGTTAAGCTGGTTTTCATTTTAAAAGATTGGGTTTAAAGAAAAGATTTTTTACAGAAAATATTACAGTTTTACAGAATGTATTTTTATTGTTCATATTTTATAATTATTGTTATTATTATTATTGCATTACATTAATGACATTGAGAGTGAATATGAATAATTTTCATGATAATAATAATATTACAAATTGCAATGCAAAAAATCCTAATGGTACTAAAATAGTGCTTTAAATCACATATAAATTATAAATATTTATTTATTTATTTACTGTTGGTTTTGGGGTGAAATATTAACCGGGCGTTTCTTCGAGAAATTGACCCATATATCGGTCAAGTGGTGAGAGTGACAGCTAGGGGTGTAAGAAAATATCGATACATGGGAGTATCATGATATTTTGTTTGGTGATACTGTATCGATTCTCAAAAACGCAATATTGATATTTAAAAAAAAAATGTATACAAGATTCATGCCAGTTGTTTAGTTTTGAGTTTATATCCCGACCGCTATATAGCAGTCTTCTTACCTCTGAACTTAAAACAGTGACAACATGTGTGTTCCTGCAAGGTTTATCCCCGCCCGCTCCCGCAAACATTATAATATTGCATATAATTTTCTCGTGACAGGGTGCCGCTGTCAATGGGGAGTATTTAAGTCTTTTGAATGAGCGCTGGCTCGCGCTGTTTACTTTCACTTTCGATTTCGCGAACATGCGCACTCTGTGTAAAGGGAGCGCATCTTACGATATAAGATATGATTCATGCAAATGCAGATCCCACTGTGTTCTGGTTAATATAGCTATATATAATATATATATATAGATAGATAGATAGATAGATATGTAAATGGATTTTTTTTTTGCTAAGGTTTGCATATGGTGGTGCGTTCTAAATGACAGTTTTCCTAAAATTATATCCTATTCTCCTATTCCTAAAATAAGAAATATCCCAATATATCGTCTTGCTTACAGTATCGCAATATATCGCAACATATCGTATCGCAACCCTTGTATCGTGATACGTATCGTATCGCCAGATTCTTGGTGATACACAGCCGTAGTGACAGCATGAGCTCCAGTCATGAATTAATTATTAATCAGATTAATACAGGGAAACATGATGTCTCACTGTAGACTGAATGGCGGGACTGCAGTTTGGAAAGGAATGTCTCCAAAAAAAAAAACAAGTGATGCAATTTGTCCAAGTGTCAGTAATTAATGTGCTCTTGATCTGACAGACGATATGGAGGCTGTAGTGACTTAAAAAAAAAAAAGAGTAGATAACAAAGAGCTGAGTGGAGAGCAGATTAGACAGTGTGCGGCTCACTGAGTCCAGCACGAGACGCTCGCTCCGACCGCCTGCCTTATTACAATACCTGTGTGCGTGTGTGTGTGTGTGAGTGTGTGAGTGTGTGCGTGTGTGTGTGTGTGTGTGTGTGTGTGTGTGTGCGTGAGCACTGTAGACTGAATGGCGGGACTGCAGTTTGGAAAGGAATGTCTCCAAAAAAAAAAACAAGTGATGCAATTTGTCCAAGTGTCAGTAATTAATGTGCTCTTGATCTGACAGACGATATGGAGGCTGTAGTGACTTAAAAAAAAAAAAGAGTAGATAACAAGCCGCCTGATTATTATGACTCATGCAAAATATGCAGATTACAGCAAGAAAGATTGCAGATCAGCTGCCAGACGCTGCTGCCAGATTGTACGTGTTCAGTAAAGAGTGCTTTGGAAAAACCAACCAGACTAATGATGCATATTATGAAATAATGTGCACTGTACAGAAAAAAAGGATGTGCATTATAGCAGTTTTAACACAAATTAGAGGAA